ATAACGTGGAAAATACTTGCGATAGAAAGTACAGTATTGTATATGCATTATGATTACAACCATCTTAAGGAATACATACTCACATTCAGGTATTTCCCTAGGACAGGACTTGTAAGGGCTCCTTTAATCCCACCTTTTCCCCCCCCAGAATCTGCATTTATGCAAAGCTGGTTCTAAGGGCTCAGATTTTACCCTGAAATTAGGTGTTCTATATATCTCGTTATCAGCCATTATCTTTGATATATGGCTTTAGGAATTCCAAGTTTAGTCAATTCTGTGGAATGGGATGGCTGTGGGGTTTACAAAGATGAGGGTCACTCTGTGTACTCAAGGAATAGTTTTATATAAGGGATAAGCAAGTACGAAAACCCCAGGATGTACTTGCTAGGTAACGTTTACAGTTTGGGCTCCTGGGTGCCTAATGATTGAGTTTTGTAGAATGTAGATGTCTCATATTACCTCTTGGATAAATACAGCCTGATAGTGCTGTATTTAAATACCATTGTGAATTCTAAGATGGAAGCTGTGAGCAATGAGTTCTTGAAAACCCTGCGTGTGTTTCCAAAGCCCATTCTCTGTGTTAATTGGTGTCTGTTAACAGACAGCAAAGGATTTTTCCATCGTGTATCTCCAACTACCCAGCCCTCCTGAGGCAAAATTAAGAGGTTCCATGAAATGTCTTTAGACAATATTCCTTCAAAAAGAAAAATGGCAGCCTGGGCAACAGAGCTAGACCCCATCTCTAAAACCAAAAAAATAAAAAATATGAAAGCTGAGCTCTGTACCATGAGCTTGTAGTCCCAGCTACTCAGGAGGCTGAGGTGGGAGGATCTCTTGAGCCCAGGAGTTTGAGGCTGTTGTGAGCTGTGATCACGCCATGGCATTCCAGTCTGGGAGACAGAGCGAGACCCTGTGTCTTGAAAAAGAAAAAAGGGTTGAACTCCCTCCCTGAGAAAGTCATTCCCCCAATACTTTAGAGCTTAGTTTGAGAAATACTATCTTTTGAGACCTGTATTTTTTTTTTTTTAAGGCACTTTGTGGGAGTTGGATGCATTCTTTCTGTCAGTTTTCAGAGGCCTGTTGGGGGGCGGGGGACGGGAAGAGTCCTATGCCTCTGCCTATATTCACACCCTCCTGGTCTTGGCACCTTTTCCAGTTCAATAGCCATGGAAGCAACTTTTACATACTTTTACGTTCGTGTGGCATATGTGATAAGGCATGTCTGTTGTTATACATCATAGTTCTTTAAGTTTTATGTGGCCTTAAAAATTGACCTAATTTGAAAGAAAAAGCCGTTTGAATAGATGCTGTCTGAGTAATTTTATTTGTGCCATAGTCGAACCTAGGTTTTTGATACGCCTTCTTTTGTAGTGGGGAAAAGTACAGATCCAGGAGGCTCAATTTTCTAGCTAGTTGTGATCTTAATTTTACCACTACCTACCTGTGGGGTTTTAAAAGTCCTTTTACTTCTACTTCCTCATTTGCAAAAACAAGGATTTCATTATCTGTGCATACGGTACTTTGCTGAAGTTGCTAATCATTTGTATAATGTGCCAGTGAAGACATCTATCATAAGATGGTCTCTGGAGGCTTTTACAGTTTTTAAGAGGCAAATGGTGCATTTACTTACTGTATACTTTTTTCCTCTGAAGGTATAAGAAGAAGGTTCTTTCATGTACTATTCTATTTTTATTCCTCTGATTTTTATAAACAAAGGATGGCTCTTATGCTAGTAAATGACTCCTTTTTGGAATTAGTATTCCTGCCCTTAACTGAAGCAGGAAGAAACAGAAATGCCTTATCTTCTAACCTGTTTTGATAGGCAAGGCCAAAGACTAACAAGTAGGAAAACAGGCATCTGCCTTTGATGTTATGGCTTCCTGTCAGCACTAAGAGAAAACCCATCTTTCCCCTGTTGTAGCCACACGTTGCCGTTTGATTGCTCACCAGTCAAGTCTGCCTCTCTGCAGACAAGTGTTATTAGTGTGACTCTTTAAGGCTTTGGGATTTATCCAGGCACATTTTTTTTCAAGCACAGTTCAGTTATCTTCCATGGCTTCATTTTGGGACTGTACGCTGTCTTTAGGTGAGAGTTTTCCCAGCTTTGAGCCGAAATTAGTCACAAGAGTCCAAAAGGAATACTGGAATTATTGAAAGTGGGATTTTGGCGTTCACTGGAATAAAGTTTCTCAAGTTATATTGACTTGTTGTTATATCTCACCATATTCCTGGAAAGGAATTAGGTGACAGGTATGTATGGAGACTCTCCTTCACAGCCAGGCCTAGTGAGAGAGTTGCTGTAGTGAGTGCTCGCTTTCTTACCCTCCACCAGGCACTGTGCCTTCTCGTCCATTGCAGTTTCTCACGGCAGGGTCACCAAGGGTCACTAGCACCAACTGGACATGATTCTTTATTTTACCTCGCTGTAGGGTCTAAAGTGACTGCTCCTTCCTTTTATGTATATTTTTTTCTGATTTTAAAAGTAATACATGTTCATTGTGGAAAATCTTGAAAAAAGACTTGTAATCTCTATCCCAAAATCTTTTTCCTCATTGAATTGTTTCTGTGAGAACTGGTGTCTTCCTTTCCTCTTGTTTCTCTCGATGAGATCTGAATCAGATGCCTGTGGATATTTCTGTCTTGCAGGCTCTCAAGCCCAGCATCTCTTAAACGGAACAGCTCTGCCTCTCCTGCTCTAAATATGCTCAGCCACCTTTGTGATACCTCACTGGAAGGTATCACTCTTCACACAGTTGCTGAAGCCATAATGTAAGGACCCATCCTTGACTCCTCTCTTTCATCCTCCATTTTTTAGTCAGTGGTTGGAATCTTGTTTTTCTTATTACTCCATTGACTTGCCATCTCTCCACTCCTAGCGCCCTAGTTCAGACTGTCTTTATTTCTCAACTACCCGAGTTTCCCCAAAACATCTACTTTTGAACCTCTGAGGACTTCAAGGCTTAACTTGGAAAATCAGAGCGTCTCTGACCTGTTCCTACACCCTCCAGTCTGAGTGTGTTGCTGGTGGCCCTCTCTCCCCACTTCATCCACACTTCTTCCCTCTGTCTTCTCTCACTCTCCCGTGGACTCTCACAACACCCTGCACTATGGTTACGACACGTATTTCATTCTGCTGTCATTGCTTGTTTACTTTTCTGTCTCCTTAAGGACAGCAACTATGTTTTATTCATAATTGCATCAGTAGTATCCAACCCAGAGCGGTTAGTGAACTTATGATAATAAATGGGTAGAAGGAAATGCACATTTTTAGGATATAGGTTGGTAGGAAAAAAATGTGAGGCTATTATGTTACTAAATCTGTATAAAACATCTGGTGTGTATAAATGAAGGACAGAGTAAGTCCTAGGAGAATCTCTGCCTGTTTGAGTTTTTACGAAATTTAATATTTTGCATTTTTAGAACCTATCAAGTAGTTGATGCTTATTGAACCCCTTGGGGGCAGTGCCATTGTTTAAAATGATTGAGTAAAGTCACAAGTGGGCAAATCAAGGAAAAAGAAATTTTTTTTTTTTTTTTTTTTTTGAGACAAGAGTCTGGCTCTGTTGCCCGGGCTAGAGTGCCCGTGGCTTTAGCCTTGCTCACAGCAACCTCAAACTCCTGGACTCAAGCGATCCTACTTCCTCAGCCTCCCGAGTAGCTGGGACTACAGGCATGTGCCACCATGCCCGGCTAATTTTTTCTATATATTTTTAGTTGTCCAGATCATTTCTTTCTATTTTTAGTAGAGACGGGGTCTCGCTCTTGCTCAGGCTGGTCTCGAACTCCTGAGCTCAAATGATCCGCCCGCCTCGGCCTCCCAGAGTGCTAGGATTACAGGCATGAGCCACCGCGCCCGGCCAGAAAGAAATTCTGATTGTGTCAAGGTCCAGGTAATTTTGGCTATAGCACAGGTGATCCTGAGCGTAGAAAGAACTCACCCTGGCTGCAGAAGCCAGAAGCTGCCCTCCTCCCCTTACCACAGGAGCCCCTGCACCAGCTGTAGAGCCTCTTGTGCTTTTGGAGACTTGGCACTGCGGAAGGAGCAAGAGAAAGCAGGAATGATGTCTCAGGACTACCCCTGTGGCACTGGGCAAGGCAAACCCCAAAATATCTTCTTCCATGTTGCCTGCCTTTTTTTTTTTTTAATCTTAGTTTCCAAAGATTTTATTTGGAATAATGAGTATCTTAAAAAAAAAAAAAAAAACGGCACTTCCAAATCTCACCTGTCCTTGAAAGCTTAGCTCCAACACCACCTTCCCTTCCCCTCTTAGATGTCAGCTTTCCGGATTTAAATTCCGTGGCACACAGTCTGACTCATAGCATCGATGGCTTGTTATTTCCATAAATGCCTGTCATCTACCCTGCTGGACTGTGGGCCCTTTGACCATACAGATCTATTTATCTTTACACCCAAATAGGAGCTGACAAAGTGCCTGGCCCAGGGAAGGCATAACTGTGGGTAAATGTAGGTGTAAATAATGGAGCAGCAGCTATGTCTGGAGGTCATTGCCTTTCCTGTCTCAGTAGGAGTCAGTCAACACCGCTTTCCTTCAAAAACCCAGAGTGGGGCCGTTAGTGGGAGCAGAGGGGAAGTGGGCAATAGTAACACACGGAACCCTTTGTAAGGGTGGCGGAAAGAGTGCAGGAAGGCAGGTGAAGGAGAGCCAAAGATAAAGCATGATTGTTTATATTATCTTACCTAGGAAGGGGCAGAACATTTTCCTCCCCCCCCCCCCATGCATCGTTGGCCTCTTACTCTCGGGATTCAGAACACAGGCTGGTGTGATCAAAGTTAAAATTTATGAGTTAAATAAAGTTTGGTAACCTAGCTCGAAAGCATCCCCACCCCTTGGTCTGAGATGTTTTTATGGTTCCACACTATTGACTTAGGCATAATGCCTGTAGGTTGACTAGAACTGCCCAATGAAATAGTGGTGATGCTCAATTTAAGTGAAATCTTTCAGGACCAAGTTATAATCTCTCTCTTTTTTTCCCCTCAGGAAAATGGCAGACAGTTTTTCGGTAAGCGTTTTACGTCTGTTTTCTTACGGTCATATAGATCTCACATAGATTGAAGGGTTGGGGGGTCTTGTTTTTACCACAATTTTCCCTTTCCAACTGCATAGCTTCCTTTGGCCTCACTTGTCCAATGAGAGCTTGTTAGCTGGAGCCTTGTGTTTCCAAGAGCAGATTTGAGAAGGAAGCCAGGCAGAGATAGGCCTAGGACTTAGTAACAGTAACCCTTTCACCAAAAGGCCCAGAACAGAAGAGAGTAGACTCTGCTGGCAGGAGCTAAGAAATCCTCTGAGCAGCAGGAAGGGACATGCAATCTGAGCATCCCAGTATTTGTGATTGTTTTTCCCATGTTGATTAGAAAGTATGTGCTGTAGGTAGAGGAGAGCTAGCTCCTCACTTAAGCAAATTACAAAAACGCATCCCCTGATCTGAGATAATGAGAGGCAAGAATAAAGTGAAAAAGCATTTGTAATCCCAAAGGCTAATTTAGTCTTTGAAACTCAAAACTATTAGTAGGTGGAATAAAGCTTATTGATATGAATTTCATACCTTCGTCTTATTTCTCTGCTTCTTAGAACATATATTTCTATTTTCCTGAAAATTCTGTTTTTGTGAATGTTTTCTATCCTGTAATTGCTTATGTCTTTCTTTCCAGCTTAGTGATGCTTTATCTGGGCCTGGAAAGCCAAACCTTCAAGGATGGCCTGGCTCATGGGGAATCCCGCCTCCTGGGGCAGGGGTCTACCCAGGTGCCTCCTATCCTGGGGTCTACCCTGGGCAGGCACCCCCAGGAGCCTATCCTGGGCGGGTACCTCCAGGGACTTATCCTGGGCAGGGGCCTCCTGGTGCCTACCCTGGCCCTACAGCACCTGGAGCTTATCCCGGACCACCTGTACCTGGAGGCTACCTGGGGCAACCAGGCGGGCCTGGGACCTACCCACCTCCTGGACAGCCCGGGGCTTCCGGAGGCTACCCTGCTGCCGGCCCCTATGGCACCCCTGCTGCACAGTTGGTAAGATGGAATCATTTCATGTACTTGGTGCGTAGAGGGATTCAGGGAGACCCATAGCTTTAAACCAGCCAGTTAGAGCTACTTCAAGGACCATCCATGGGTGTATGTTGGTCCAAAAGAAAAAAAATAAGTGTTCATATTGAGTTTATTGTGTTGTGCTGTTAGTATAAAGAGAAGATAATGTATCTTTTGAAGGCATTGATAAAGCTGCCTTAATGTAAATCAAGATTGCAGTAATGGGGGAAAGTTTTGGTTATTCTTAACAAACACTTTGCTGAGTATATAACATGTGCCAGTGGTATGCATCCACCTGGATTATCTCATTTAACCGTACTACCGCTCTATAAGATACTGTTATTATTCTCATTTTCTGTGTATTTGTTTGTTTGTTTTATTTTTTTTTTTTTGAGACAGAGTCTTTTTCTGTTGGTTGGGCTAGAGTGCCATGGCCTCAGCCTAGCTCACAGCAACCTCAAACTCCTGGGCTCAAGCAATCCTTGTGCCTCGGCCTCCCGATAGCTGGGACTGTAGACATGTGCCACCATGCCTGGCTAATTTTTTATATATTTTTAGTTGTCCAGCTAATTTCTTTCTATTTTTTAGTGGAACGACAGGGTCTCACTCTTGCTCAGGCTGGTCTTGAACTCCTGACCTTGAGCGATCCTCCCGCCTCGGCCTCCTGGAGTGCTAGGATTACAGGCGTGAGCCACCATGCCTGGCCCATTCTCATTTTCCACACTAGGAAATGGGGCAAAAGAAAAGTTAGATGACTTGCTCAGAGTCATTGAGTGAACATGTAGAGGAACCAAAGTAATCTGGTTTTCAAAAACCTTCTAAAGATAATTTGTGACCTCAGGATTGAATTTTCATGCAAATTAAAACACATTTTAGTAAGTGAATTCTAAATGTAAAACGTAAGTATGGGGGATCGAGACACAGCTCAGTCCCAGATCCTTCCCTTTCAGATTTATAGACTAGTTGGGTGTTGGGAAATAGGGTAAAGAGACGTGGAAAGTTTCACGAGTTTTGCAGGAGTTTTGTCTAGAAGGAATCTGTGGGCATATTAGTTCACAGACCAGAAGCTGCTTAGCAACAAGGGAGACATTCCACCGATCAGGAGTGACTGCAAGGCAGCGCCGATCTCAAGGGCTGCAAGCCATTACCTGGAGCTTATGCAGGGCTGAGCTCCGAACGGGGCCAAAGGTTAAGAGACTGATCAAAGGATGTCAGCCCGGCAGATACCTACAGCTGCAAACCATCTTTAACCTCAAGGCTGTTCCTGTTTCACTCCTGACCTCATGTCTCAGTTAATAAGGAGCTAGAGAAAGAAATATATGGTCTCTATGTTTCTGTTTTACGCTTTATTGCTAATTGACAATTTTATCTTTAACGTATATACTCAGCTGGGTCTATTCCTAACTTAGGGCTTAAGAAGTTTATCTTGGGAAAATTTTGTAACTGTTTGCTCACATAGATAGAATTAATTAAGGGATCTCTTGAAACCTTTGGTGAGCCTTGAAACCTATACAAATAATCTGTCACATGAATCTATAACCACTAACAACTAATTGCTGTACCAATAAATACTGATGCGGGATTTCATTCAGTGCCACCCGGCTCACGGGAATGCTGGAGGACCCCTGACTTCCCCATCACTTTAAACTATACTTTGTCTCTGTCTCTATTATTTCCAAATCTCTTGGGAAAATCCTGCCTGGGACCTGTTTTGTTGGGAGAGTAGGTAACTTCCGGCAACTGGCTCAGCGAGCAGGATCCTAAAAGTGGAAGCCTTGACCAGAGTGAAGGAGATTCCCGTACAGAGTTGCAGAGACCCGGACAAGGCTTTGAGCCTCCGTCTCCAGGAAGGGTGAGTTCAGCTCCAGGGATTTCCCTCAGTCAGGGTAACCAAATGGGACAGAATCAGTCCAAGTTTACTGAGTACATTGAATTGTTGCAGACTTTGTTACAGAGTTCTGGGGTAGTTGTCAATCAGAAAACTTTCGAGGAACTGTTTAGTTTCCAAACACTGCTATTGGTTTCTTCCTTTGGGTACGCTTAAGCTGAGGCAGTGGCGGCGGGCTGTCTGAGCAGTGCGGTGGGCACACCAGAGAGGTGAGAGCGTCCCTCTTTTTCTGTGGCAACCTTGCTCCTTAATTACTGAGGCTCTGCAACCATTTCAATTAGATTCAGACTCTGATAGTGAGATGACTCTCTCCTGTCCTAAAATAAAGACAGTGTCAGGTCAGGAGCCTGGCTTTTTTTTTTTTTTTTTTTTGAGACAGAGTCTCGCTCTGTTGCCCGGGCTAGAGTGAGTGCCGTGGCGTCAGCCTAGCTCACAGCAACCTCAGACTCCTGGGCTCAAGTGATCCTCCTGTCTCAGTCTCCCGGGTAGCTGGGACTACAGTCACGCGCCACCATGCCCGGCTAATTTTTTCTACATATTTTTAGCTGTCCAATTAGTTTCTTTCTATTTTTGGTAGAGACGGGGTCTCGCTCTCGCTCAGGCTGGTCTCGAATTCCTGAGCTCAAACGATCCGCCCACCTCGGCCTCCCAGAGAGCTAGGATTACAGGCGTGAGCCACCGCGCCCGGCCAGGAGCCTGGCTTTTGTATAGAAGAGGATATTATATACGATCTTCCATATAAATCAGGCAAGGACGAGAAAAAGTTGCTAAATTTGGCTACTGGTCCTCAATATGGATGCATAGAATGAAGGAGCAGAAAAATTCTAAAGATGAATTTCTGCTTTCCCCTCCGTTTGTTCCTTATGAGACTGGAAAAAGGGATAAAAGACTTTTCTCGCTCCAAGCTCTCACCCTCAGCACCACTGCTTTGTTACGCTGATTTTTCCCTGAAACATAATCGTCTGCTAAAAAAGGCTTTAAGGAAGGGTCCTAAAAAACCAACAAGAGCTCAAAGAGGCATTCAGGGAGGTATAAGGGAGGCACAGCTGAGGGGAAACCTGGAGGTTTATCTTTTCCTGGTTGCTGTAGAACAGCCAGATTCAGATTGTGATGATCAAGGTGGGGCAGCGCCGGTACCTGGAAGCCCATGCTATGTTCGTTAGCACATCCGTTTAAAACTCTAAGAGAACTTCAGTAAGCCTGTGTCTCATGTGGTACCAACTCTCCTTTCACCAAGTGCTTGCTTGAGGGATTGGCTGAAGTGGAACGATTAATTCCTTGGGATTGGGAAATGCTTGCTGAAATACTTTTGTCTCCATCTGAATTTCTTCAGTTCACCACCTGATGGCTGACCAAGCTCGTCAGTATGTGTGGCTTAACCACTCCCAGGATGCACCAAGAAATATTTTGGCGGCAAAATTATGGGACAAGGAAAATAGTTTGGCATAGATGCTCAATTAAAATATGATGATCAGGCTATTGCTCAAGTCTGACGATGCTGTCTTAGAGCGTGGGAGAAGATAACCCCGCCTGGACAAACTATGACTTCTTGTGTAAATGTTAAACAAACTGTTAATGAACCTTATGTGGATTTTATTACTAGATTGCAAGATGTTGTGTAAAAAAAGGGTCAGTTCTCCTGATTTAGGAAATATGCTGTTATATATGCTGGTTTTGATAACGCTAATTCTTGAGTGTCAGTGGCTTTTGCGCTGTTTAAGTCCAGGAACGCTCCTTTAGAGGAATATATAAAAGCCTGTCAGGATGTCAGGTCAGATGCCTATAAAATGCAACTATTGGCTGAGACTATCTGGGGGAGGGACCCTGGAGGACAAAAAACAGCCTCTAAATGTTTTAATTGTGGCTGAAAAGGTCATTTGGATAAAGATTGTAAATAACCCCCGAGAACAACTAATAATCATCATCCGGCCGGTCCTGCTCCTGGACCATGTCTTTGCCGTGGTAAAGGATATCATTGGACTAACAAGTGCCATTCTAAATTTCATGCTGACGGCCACCCCCTTACGGACCAGGGAAACGGGACAGGTCCCTAATCGGGGCCCCAAGAAAAACAATATGGGAAACAATCTTGTCCAACAGTTCCTAATCTGGCAGCTGCAGACACAGGAAAACAATGTGGCGATGAATAGCCCTGGCAGCAGCCTCCACAACAATTTGAAACTTGGATTCCCCACAATTAAAGGTTGCTGCTGACTTGTCACCTGCCAGAAGCGGGAGCGTGGCCTTAGATGTGCTCTCCCGTGATAAAGGTCTTCTACCGCCATCTGCTGGCATATGTAAAGTACCTACAGGCATATTTGGTCCAATTCCTCCAGCCATAGTGGGGTTAATCATTGGCCGGAGTTCTCTTATTATGCAAGGAATTTAAGTGCATTTGGGTGTAATCGATTCAGACTATTCAGGGGCGATTTTGGTCATGATGAGTTCCACTTCCGATTATCCTATGCAGGCTGGAGACCGCATTGCACACCTTCTGTTGTTACTTTATATGCAAATTAGAAAATCTAATGTTGAAAGACAAGGAGGGTTTAGGAGTACTGGCACTAAAATATATTGGCAAACTTTTATCAATGATCAGAGACCTCAACTAGAGAACAAACTGAATAGCAAATCTTTTTTTGGACTTGTAGATACTTGGGATGATGTTACAATTATTTCTAAAGGCTTTTGGCCGACCGCTTGGCCTTTACAACAGGTCCCCACAGTACTTTCTGGAATTGGAACTATGACTAATATATTTCCAAGTCAACAAATATTGAATTGTGGCCCTGATAAACAGACAGCCACCCTAAAACCTCATGTGGCTGACATAGCTATTACTCTATGGGAAAGAGATTTGTTGCAACAATGGGGAGCTTAAGTCAGTATACCTACCTTATCTCTTCCTGCTAAACAAATGATGCTTAATATGAATTATAATGCTTGTTTTTGTTTGGGTAAGGAAGGCCAAAGGGCTAAGACTTTCATGGCACCCAAAGACCACTCTTCTTGACTTGGTTTAGGCTATCCAAATTTTGTATAGTGGCCACTGCTGTTGAAGGGCACCCCTATGCGCTGGCTTTAAAATGGATATCACAAGAACCTATATGGACTGAGCAGTGGCTGCTGAGTAGAAGCACAATTACAAGCAGGACATTTAGAGGAATCTACCAGTCGGTGGAACTCTCCTGTATTTGTTATTTAAAGGAAATCTGGTAAATGGTGAATGTTAACTGATTTAAGAAAGATCAATTCAATTATACAAACAATGGGGGCTCTTAAGCCAGGACTCCCGTCTCCTGCTATGATCCTTAAAGATTGGCATATTATAATAGTGGATTTAAAAGACTGTTTTTTTGGAATCTTTTTGCAAATATCTGATCGAGAAAAATTTGCCTTTACTGTTCCTGCTTTAAATAATCAGCAAGCAATGAAATGATAACCAATGGAAAGTCTTGCCTCAGGGCATGCTTAATAGCCCACCCTGTGCCAACATTTTGTCAATCAGCCTTTGGAAATATTACAAAACTGTTTCCCCATAGTTATATTATGTGGATGATTATGTGGATGATATTTTATTTGCATGTTCATCTAAACCAAAATTGGAACAACTGTACTGACAAGCCAAACAATTATTGCCTCAATTTGGTTTAATGATTGCTGAAAATAAACTCCAGCAAGATTATCCATTTACTTATCTGGGGTCTCTCATTGATAGAAATAAAATAGTTCCTGAAAAAGTTCAAATACATATAGACAAATTACAGACTCTGAATGATTTTCAAAAATTACTAGGAGACATAAATTGGCCTAGACGTATGTTAGGCATTCTTACTTATGCTTTAAGCAACTTGTTTTATATACTAAAGGGTGACTCTGATCTTACCAGTCCTCGTCATTTAATTGAGGTGGCTAAAGAGGAATTGGCATGGATTTAATCTCATATTCACAAAGCTCAGCTGTCTAGAGTGAATGTTGGGAAAAGAGTGGATTTAATTGTTTACCCATTGGAACATTCTCCTTCTGCTACCTTAACTCAAGAAGTGGGTATAACTGAGTGGATTTTTCTCCTACATAAACAACAGAAACGTCTGATGACATATTTGGACAAAATTGGTCAGATTGTGTTTCAAGGCTGTGAAAGATTAAAACTAGTGGCCAAGATCCTGAGAAAATTGTTATTCCTCCTGGTAACTCACAAATTGAAATGGCTTATAAACAAAATCTATATTGGCAATCAGGTATATCTGATTTTGTAGGAACAATTGACAATCACTATCCAAAAAACAAATTATTTCAATTTCTGAAATTAACTCAATGGATATTACCTAAAATAGTGAAATTCACGCCTATACCTCACGCCCTCACCTTTTTTACTGACGACAGCAGCTATGGTCAAGCCGATTATTCCAATCCTTTACCTAAAGTGTGGACCACACCTTATAATTCAGCACAAAAAATTGGAACTGCAGGCTGTTCCTCAGCTTTTACAAGGTGTTACTATACCCTTAAATATTGTTTCTGACTCACAATATATTGTACATGCAGTTCTAACCTTGGAAACAATCACTATTACGGAAACTGATGACATTTCCAAGCTGTTTCAGCAACTTCAGTCGATTATACAGAATTGCCAGTTTCCACTTTTTATTACTCACATTAGATGTCATACTAATCTTCCGGGCCCATTCGCACTGCCAGTGAAAAAATAGATCAGTTACTTATTGGTTCTGTTCAAGAAGCAACTCAATTTCATCAGTTAACTCCTATTAATACTAAAGGTTTAATTAAAAATTTTCACATAACAAATAATCAAGCCAAGCATATTGTTTCTCACTGTCCCACTTGCCAAACAATCAGCCTAGTCTTCCTGCAGGAGTTAATCCCCAAGGCCTCTCACTGAATGAATTATGGCAAATGGATGTTACACACATTCCTGAATTGAGCAAGTTAGTTGTTGTACATGTTACAATAGATACTTAACTCCGGTCTCAGTATGGCTACTCCATCCCCTGGAGAAACTGTTCAACATGTACTTTCACACTTACACTCCTGTTTTACAGATATGGGAGTCCCAGCCTCCATCAGAAGTGACAACGGCCCTGCTTATACTACTCGCTGTTTTGCAACCTTTTGCACTAAATGGAATATCAAACACATTACTGGCATTCCTTATAATCCTCAAGGACAAGGCATATAGAACATACTCATCAAACCTTAAAAAATAATGTTATTGAAACAAAAAGGGGGAGGAATACAGTCCCCAAGATATAGAATAAATCCAGCCTTATTTAATCTAAATTTTCTGAATATTCGTAAAGAAGAAAATTTAACAGCAGTAGAGAAACACTGGAATGGGAGTCGACAACCAGACTCTTTTCCTCACCAGCCCATCTGGGGGAAAGATGATATAGAAAATAAATGAAGAGGATAGGTAAAGGTGTGGGATTGAGGTTTACTTGTGTTTTGACAGGTGACGGACAAAGAGTATGGGTCCCCGACAGAAGAATCAGGCCCAGAGTGTCCACCCGAGGGGAAACAGCAGAGGATGCCACCCTCTACGGCCGAAGCCCTGACCAAAGATTCTCTAAGGAAGAAACCAAAGCACAAGAGGCCTCGAATCAAGAAAACACGACAGATACAAGCCATGACATGGGCCCAGCTGAAGAAGACCTATGAGGAAGCAGAGAAGATACTATATCAGACATCTGTACCTAAAACACCTGCAAACCTTTTTCTTGCTGTGATCAGCGTGGTGAGCATGGCGGTAGGTGTATCTGGCAATCAAACCTATCACTATTAGGCCTATATTTCTAACCCACCGTTAAATATTTTCAACTTGGCTGATGTTCCTTTTTTAGTATTTCTTAACGATTCCAATTGGCTACTGGGACCCTATGACTATCATGGTCCAATGAAACTCGATGAGGTAGGCACAAAAATTAATAGATATGAAGTTGGAATAGAGGGCCCTCCAATATGTATTGGTAAAGGTATTCATTGTTTAAAACCTTCTATCCAAAACTGGCTGGTCACCAGCAAATCAGCCAGAGATAATAGTAAGGCCTGGTTATTCCTTCTGACTACCTCTTCTTTTTCTTCTCTTGGACATTCTGAAATTGCACCCACAGATGTACCCATTTGTAAAGAGGTAGTAATTACTGACTCTAAAACCTGAGTACAATGGGAAAATTGTAGAACTCACGTGGGACGCATTCTTACTAGATCACCATTTTCCGGTTACGTACTTGATTGGAGCCCCTGTGGGCATCCTGCTTCCTCTTGCAATCTTAAAAAATTTCACTGGAATAAAACCGCCACCTCGATGTCTGTAAAAAACACTGGCTTTCAAAGTCATATTAGATGGCTCAATGACAATATGAGCCCTCCGGCCCCTCACATTTTAAATGGCTGTATTCGTAATCAATTGTGGAAACTGTTGGCCACTTTGCACCCTGTACAGGCCTGGGTTAGCACACACAGATTGGATACAAACAGTAGCCGCGAGTGGACTTTCTGTTTGAACTCTACTCATTATATCCAAGCTTGTGTTAAATTGGCTTACTTATTCATGATTGGGCCTGCTGAATATAATGAACCTTCTTCCTTCTTTGTGATGTATAACACCTATTCTTATAACTGTTGACAATTCCATAAAGTTTAATCCTTACACAGAAACACTTTATATTCTCAAAGCCAGAATGGGGCTGTGGTTACCTGTTAAAATGAATAGAGACTGGCAAGAAACCCCAGCAATGTTCCTTTTAGACAAGCTACTTAACCGCATTCTTAAATGTACTAAAAGATTTATTGGTCTCCTAATAGCAACTATTTTGGGAATAATTGCTGTGACCGCCTCTGCAGCCACAGCAGGGGTGGCTTTACATCAAACCATACAAACTACTGAATTTGTTCAGAATTGGCATCATGAATGATATCAATTATGGTTCACCAAAATCAAAGTGATAACAAATTGGCTACTCAGGTGGCCGACTTACAATAAGCGGTCACCTTACTGGGAGACCAGGTTATAAGCCTACAGAAAGAAATTAGACTCCGTTGTGATTAGAGTATCACTCAAATTTTGTGTTACACCTCACATATGTAATCAGACTCGGTTTCCTTGGGAAAACATTAAAAAACATCTACTTAAGGAAATCTGACTGAAGAAATTGGAAATTTACAACAGGAAATATGAAGTACCCTCAGTCACAAACTTGATCTACTCTCTCAGGCTGACATTATTGACAGAATGGAGTCAACTAACCTACTTTCTCCTCTTAAGATCTATGAAAATTCTGCTATAATAACTTTTGTAATTATTTTAATCATTTGCTTGTGCTTACTTATAGTCTAGAAAAATCTCCGAAGAATACGAGGCTTCACAGACCAGCGCCTCGCAGTGATGGCTATCGAACTTCATCAACTTGCTTCTAAAACGAATGGGTGAGATGTTGGGAATAGGGTTAAGAGACATGGAAAGTTTCAGGAGTTTTGCAGGACTTTTGTCTTGAAGGAATCTGTGGGTATATTACTTCACAGAGCAGAAGCTGCTTAGCAACAAGGGAGACATTCCACCCATCAGGGACGACTGTAAGGCAGCGCCAATCTCAAGGCCTGCAAGCCAGCGCCTGGAGCTTGTGCAAGGCAGAGCTCGGCATAGGGCCCAAGGCTAAGAAACTGATTGAAAAATACCAGCCCAGCAGACAACTTGCAGCCGGAACTATCATAAACTTCAACAAGGCTGTTCCTGCTTCACGTCTGACCACATGTCTCAGTATACAAAGAAATGGATTAGATTAGTATGCAGGCTCAGTGTTCCTGCTTTATGCATTTTTATCTTTAACTTGTATGCTCAGCTAGGTCTATTCTTACCTTAGGGCTTAAAATGTTTATCTTAGAAAAATTTTGTAAGCGTTTACTCTTGTAGACAGAATTAGGTAAGGGTGCGTTGAAACCCTTGGGAAGTCTTGAAACCTACACGAATGATCTGTACGCATAATTCTATGACCAAGGACAACTGGTTGCTGTAACAATAAATACTGATGTGGGACTTCACTCAGTGCCACCTGGCTCACAGGAATGCTGGAGGACCCCTGACTTCCCCATCACTTTAAACTACACTTTGTCTCTGTCTCTGTTATTTCCAAATCTCTTGCGACGATCCTGCCTGGGACCTTTCTTGCTGGGAGTGTCACAAACTCCCGGCAACTGGCACAGCAAGCAGAGTCCTAAAGGCAGAAGGCTTCACCGGAGTGAAGGAGATTCCTGTATGGTGTTGCAGAGACCTAGAGAAGCTTCTAGCCGCATAGCCCAGGAAGGGTGAGTTCAGCTCTGGAGATTTTTCAGTCAGGGTAACACATGGGGCAGAATCAGTTAAATTCACTGAGTACATTGAATTGTTGCAGACTCCGTTACAGAGTTCTGGGGTGGTTTCCAAGCAGAAAACTTTCCAGGAACTATTTCATTTAATTTCCAAACACGGTTATTGGTTTCCCCCTCTGGATACACTCAGACTACGGAAATGGAGGCTGGGTGTCAGAGCACTGTGGCTTGTGTACCACAGAGGAGGGAAGATCCCTCTTTCTATGTGGCAACTCTGCACCTTAATTACTCAGGCTCTGCAACCGTTTCAGTCAGACTCTGATAGTGAGACGGCTCACTCCCATCCTAAAATAAAGAGAGCAACAGATTTGGAGCCTGGCTATCGTACGGAAGAGGAGGTATTATATACGATCTTTCGTATCATTCAGGCAAGGATGAGAAAAAGTCATTAAATTTGGTTGTTAGCCCTCAGTACGGGTCTATAGAAAGAATGAAGGAGTGGAGAAATTCTGAAGATGAATTTCTGCCGCCTACTCACTTTGCTCCTTATGAGAATGAAAAAAGGTACAAAACATCAGCTAGAGATTTACCTCGCTCCCACTCCCTCCCTCTTGGCTGCTCTAAGCTCTCGCCCTCAGTAGCACTACTTTCTTATGCTGATTTTTCCTGGGAACATGATCCTCCCTTAAAAAAGGCCTTAAAAAAGGCTCCTAAAAAACAAAGGAGAGCTCAAGTTTGCCTTCAGGGAGGTATAAGAGAAGCACAGTTAAAAGGAGACCTGGAAGCTTACCTTTTCCTGGTTGCTATAGTACAGCCAGATTCGGATTCTGATGATCAAGGCAGGGCGGTGTGAGCACCTCGGAGCCCACGCTATGTTCATCAGCCCATCCTGTTTAAACTCTGAAAGAATTAAAGCAAGCCTGCGTCTCATATGGTACAAACTCTCCTTATACCAAGGGCTTGGCTCAAGCGGAAATATTAATTCCTTGCAATTGGGAAATGCTTGCTCGAATACTTTTGTCTCCATCTGAATTTCTACAGTTCACCACCTGGTGGGTGATGAAGCTTGTCAGCAAGGGTGGCTTAATCCAGTCCAAGATCTTCCAACAGATGTTTCAGCGGCACAGATTACAGGACAAGGGAAATGGTTTGGCATAGACGCTCAATTGAAATGTGATGATCAGGCTATTGCTCAAGTCTGGCAATGCTGTCTTAGAGCGTGGGAAAAGATATCCGCGCCTGGACAAACTGTGCCTTCTTGTGTAAATGTTAAACAAACTGTTAATGAACCTTATGTGGATTTTATTACTAGATTGCAAGATGTTGTGTAAAAAACGGTCAGTCCTCCTGATTTCGGAAATATGTTGTTACATATGTTGGCTTTTGATAAGGCTAATTCTGAGTGTCAGCGGCTTTTGCGCCGTTTAAAGTCCAGTAACACTCCTTTAGAGGAATATATAAAAGCCTGTCTGGACCTGGGTCAGACACTTATAAAATGCAACTATTGGCTGAGGTTATCCAGGGGAAAGACCCTGGAGGACAAAAAACAGCCTCTAAATGTTTTAATTGCAGCTGAAAATGTCATTTGAAAAAAGATTGTAAACAACCCCTGAGAACAACTAATAATACTCAGCCTCATGGTCCTGCCCTAGGACTTTGCCTTCGCTGTGGTAAGGATATCATTGGAGTAATGAATGCTGTTCTAAATTTAATGCTGATGGCTACCCCCTTACGGACCCTACGGAGTGATACCCAAACTCCAGACATAGAAAGCCCATAGTAATCTGGGCCCGATTTTCCTGTTAAGCTTTATTTCTTAGTAGTCACTTTCATATTCACCATGTGCTAACCACGTTGAACTTCTGTTTATAAACAAGTGAAGTTTTCATTCCCCATACCTTTCTCATTCTGTTCCTTCAAATTCAAGAGTCATTCCTAACCCTTCTTCCTAACACACTCCTATTCTTCTTTTAAGACTGAATCCAAACAGTATCTTTTTTGGGAAAGTCTTCCATGAAGAATCAACATTTACTTTTTCCGTGTTTACAAAATATGTTGTGCCTTTATTACCATTAGATTGTACCATATTTCAGAGATCAAAGTTGACCTGAGGAGCTTGAACACCATGACTTTTTCTTCTTCTTTTTTTTTAATTTAAAAAGGGTGTTCCAGAGGGACACAGGGAAGAGGCCACATACTATAAACAGTGCCGCTGGCCACTTATGAACACCATGAATTTAAAAAAAAAAATCTCGTGTTTAAATAAAATTCATATTCTCATGTCAATTGCAGCCTGAAATCCTTTTTTTTCGTTACATGCTAAATATGTAAGTATAAAGTTATATACTCAATTTTATTATAAACATGTGATTATCTACCTGATGTTAAATTCTTCTTTTGGAAGATAAATCTTTTTCTTTTTTAGTAGAAATATTAAATCATCTGTTTTAATTGTTAACCACATCAGAATCTGTCTATATTATGACTTTTCATTTTTGGAAATCTGTTGCAGTACAACAGACTCACCACGTGGTGGCACCCAAAAGCCCAGAAACCAATATCATACAGACCTGTATTAGGCGTGTGTTCCTTTAGGCAGATAGCTCTCTTGTGGAGAGCAACGGGAAATAAACAGTGTTGTCTAAGGCAGTCATATTAAAAGGATGCTGTAAATGTTCTATATCTTAAATCTGAGTGGTAGTTACACAGGTGAATATATATGTAAAAATTCATGAAGCTTTATACTTAAGATTTGTGCATTTTACTATATATGTTGTACATCAATAAAAAATTTATGTGACTATAAATAACAATCATTTTACATAAGCCATCTTAAAATTTCCTCTATTGTTGAACACGGTAACAAAAAGTTTCAGAGGGAATACTAGATATTAGCAATCTTCCTAGACAGTAGAAAAGTATTTTATGATAGTTATTTTAGCTTACTGCAATATATTTAAAACTATTTAAAATTGTCGATTTAAGTTAAAACTGCACTATCAACAGCACAACAGTGCAATGGATGAATAAATCATGGGTATATCACATATTAGAACATTATACGAAATGAGAATTGAGGAACCACAGCTGCATCTATCAACATGGATGAATTTCATAAACACAATATTGGGTAAAAGAGACAAGTCACAAAGATCACTTGTATATAAACTTTTATATAAAGTTCCAAAATAGTCAAAATAAGCTATATTGTTTATGGATGCATGCATAGGTGGCAAACCTAGAGAAATGCCAAAGAATGATTATCATAAAAGTCAGGATAGTGGTTACCCCTGGAGGAGAAGGAAGGGGCGGCCATCTGAGAAGAGGAATACTAATGGCTTCTAAGGTACTGGCATACTTCTATATTAACTTGGGTGGCGGTTATACAGGGAGCTTTTTATTACTGCTTTTTAAGCATAAAAGAGATTTAAAAGTAAAAAATCCCACAATCAGGAATTTTATGATCCAGAAAGCCCAGGGTTTTACCCTTTAGCAAGTTAAAAGTTGTCACAGACACCTGAAATTAAGTGTAAGGTTACCATATTTAGCAATTAAAAGTACAGAACTACAGTGAATAAAAATACAGGATTGCAAGTCAAATGTGAATTTCAGATAAACAACAAATAATTTTCTAGTGTATCCCTATGCAATATCTGGTTCCATGCAGTTTCTGAGACATACTTAAGAAGAACAATTCACTGTCTATCTGAAATAACCGGGCATCCTGTGTTTTCTCTGGCAACCCATATATTTGTGTGAAGTGGCACAGGGAGAAGCAGTTTGCAATAGTTCAGTGAATGGCATACCCAGAGGAGGCACAAGGAAAGGGAAAAGGAGGAAGAAGAGGAGTCTTAAAATAAATTAGTCTGACCCTAAATTCCTATTTGAATAAGGGTAAATGAATTTGCTGAGTTCAGCCATTATAGCAGTAGTTCATAAGTAATGAATCTACGTAGTGTATTGAATAATTCCTATCAACAAAAAGCAATATCAGTAAATGTTCAGAAGAGCCATCAGTGTTTCTCCTAAAAATTGTCTCTCACTGCGTCAGCCTCTCTTTTATTCACTTTAGGTGAAGACATTGTGGAGGACAGTCTTGATGCTCGCTCTATAATTAATGCTTTTCTAATTTATAGCCAATGATTTGGAGTGAAGTTGCAAGGTAGTTTGTTTTGTTTTGTTTTTCTTCTACAAATACATGTATTCTCCTGACTATAAGCCAGGAACTGACTTAAGCCCAAAGGACAGGACAATGAATGACACAGACATAGTTCCTTCCTAGGTAACTCGGAGTCTAGGCCCTAGGGGACTATAAGATGTGTGTGTGTGTATCACACACTCGGTAAAACATTATCTAGCAATAGTGGATACATGCTGTTTGCTGCCCAGTATCCCTCCTTCTTTTGGGAAACCATCCAGACCCCATTCTTTGTTATTTGGTTTGGGTAGAATCGATCCCAAGCCCATCACTGCCATTGATGATGATTGATTCAAGGATGGTCATATAATCCACTTAAAAATGATGAGCCTCTGAAAGCCAGT